CTAACAGTGTTATCTCAGGAGATTCATCGAAACGAAATTAATCTTCGTATCCACATTTTTTAAGTTGTGGGGTTGTCGCTAAGGCAAACGTGTATTTGATATTACAGTCGATGACGCTAATTATATTCGGACTGAGAAGAATATCGAGACTTAGTAAATCTTGATTGAATAAGATCTAGGCTGACTAAGGCTCCCATTCAATGGCTGAGACTAGTCTTGAAAGTGAATTCAATGCAAATAGAAAAAATGTAGTCAACTGTAATGGAAAATGCCTGCTTCGCTTAGCAACAATCGTGAGTCCTAGGCATCTGATTGTGGGGAGGTGCATTATCAATCATTCATCAGACTAAGCGACGTAGGCGGACCAAAGCTCGCATTCTAGATCTGCTGATCCTACTCCATTCGCTGCCACTTTCTGGCATGTCCGGCCTGTCGTGAAGGGGCATGGCGAAATTAACAATGAGAGCATTCTCATGAAAATTGCTACAACCAAAGGGCAGAGGTAATGGCAAAGAAGTTACGGCCAGGTCAATATTGTAGGCGTCGACGAGCATTTCATACTTGACATTGCCCTCTTCATCAGCTTCATCCCCTGTACTGCCGAGGACTTGCTGCATCATCAAACCATTCCAAAGGTTGGCCTTCAATTGAGCCTATTTGAGCTTAGTGCTGATGCGATAGAGCCTATTTATGGCGAGATCATTGCCACCCATGCATATGATAAACTGGGTTTCGTAGAGTTGCTTGGTGAATTATTGTGGCATCACTTTCCATTTCAAATGAAAAGTGGGTTGTAGGAAATTTGTAAAATGGTCGGGCTAGAAACTGAAGGGGAATTGTATTCACTCTATTTCGTGTAAGGTGATGAAGGACTGGTAGTAGAATTTTCCCACAATGATATCAGTTGAGCTGACGTTTCCATTCAATTTCACATGTTTTTCGAATTAAGTATTCTTTTCGTGATTACCAGTAAATTAGTGTAATGAGATGTATTCACCCTATTTCGTGTAAGGTGATGAAGGAGGTGAGAACAACTTTTGGGAAAGCAAGG